TAGCTGCATTCCCTCTAGTCTTACACTGCTAAATTAGAGACGGCTAGAGCAGATAGCCCTCGCGTGGCTTTGCGCGAAATTCAAAAACAAACTGAAACACTTGGATTATGATACTAACATTGAAAAATACAAGTTCATATATTTTTGAATAATTGTTTTCTCAATATTACCTACCGCAGTCCAACTTACGTTTCTAAAGGCCAATTTTACATTGTATCCAGTCCATCAACATAAAGCTTATTCGTCAAGTCCATTACACATTAGACGCTTTAAAGCAGTAGTTGAATATCCAAAATGGTCGTAGTTATATTTTCGATTTGCCCCAGCAATAATGAAAAAGAGTGCCTCGGTGAGTCAACAGTAAATTTTCGCGCTTACAATACTAATATCCGGGGCTCGCTATCCCAGGATGGACAGAGTGTAGATAGTCCATTGTGTAGTTTTGCGCTAAAAACCCAACACCAAGAGATGAACGAGATATATTATTTATGTTATGGAATGGAAGTCAAAAGCGCAAAACAAAGTGCTATTGGGTGCACCCAATATTGAAGAGGTGTATATACCTGGAGGAGTATCACGTATTGGTATACGAGCTCAAAACAGATGCTGAATGATTCCCCCTTTTTTTTTATGGATGTCAGTAATTCAGTTTGAGGAACTATTAAATATAGTGGGACCCCATCTGCACAAGCTGAACACCAACTTCAGAGAACTTATATATATCTTGAGCAACGTTTGGCTAAATGTCTGAGGTTTTAAATATTGTACTTAAGCCTATATAATTTTATTCGCCAAAATTTGTTGCAACAGTTAAAAAAGTCACAATGTGTAAAATAGAGTAATATTAATAATAACCACTACTTATTTTAATTACTTCTGAAATGAATATCATGGGTCAATATAATTTTTAATGCACTTCATATCAAACTTGTTTCGAACCCAAGATTATACAACAATTACACACTCAGTGTGCAAGGCACAATAGGGAACGTGCGTGTTTGTTAAATAGTTTTTGTCGCATGACAATTACACATATTAAAATTGGATCCAGTGAACAACGACCATGGAAGAAGACAAGAAACTCTGGTGTACCGAAAGCCTGTGATGAATGCTGTCATTAAAGAGAGCATATTACTTAATTTAGACCAATAACAAAAATCTTAAAATGGGAATTGGACCAAAAAGGTTAAATTAGCAACTGTAATTTAAAATTGTTAACTATGGTATTTCCGATTTTAGCTATTTTATGTATGCTACTTTGCGTCCTCCTGTTGGTTAGTGGTAATTTTCCGGATATACAATGCTAAAATCTGAGGCTCGACTCCCCGCAGGGGACAGAGCGCAAAAAGCCCATTGTTCTGGGTTAAAACGTCATCAACATATTACTGTGTTGTTTTCCTCAGTTTTTATTCACATTTTTCACATGTTATAATTGAAATTAACCTAATAAGTATTACTAATAGTAAAATAAGGAACATGCTCAAACTTAATTATTAAAATATGCTTTGAATAAACTATAGTAGTTTCTGGATTTATTTCAAAGCTATTAGTTGATTTTTCAATATATTTACGCACACCGCTTAATGGAATATTTGTACAACAGGAGGTCGAATCGCACCTCCTAGTTACATGCTTATATTTATAAGTTATTGTGTTAAGAGTTTAGGAAAGTATTGATAACTGGTAAAATTTAAGATTTATTAATCCTCAAATATCCGATTGAGATATTGGAAAAACTGAGTATAACAAGAAAAATAAGATAACTTATTTGTATGAAAGGTGAGATTCTGTGTTTGAGTAACACCTAGTTTTTCAGCTTACAAGTTACGCTACAGCGTACAGTGACATTAGGAGCAAGTTTAAGTTAACGGTACAGTCGACACGTCATGTGTTTCGATTTTCGTTAAGCCTAAGTTTATTTCAGACTTAAACGGTTTAGTTTGTTAGGGCTGAACACGTAAAAAATGTACATTTGTATATGAATATATTTATTTATTTTAGGCCTACACAAAAAACGTAAGAATGGAAACCTGTCAGTGAAACATTGTAAACTGTAATTGTAAAGCATAATAATATATAATATTATTAATAATAACATTAGCAGTTGCCAATAATGGCATTACTCACAAATTAGTGTATTCTCATACATTTGCACCGTGTTATAGTTATAGTCTAACTGTGCTAACTTGAGTCGTAGGCAAAGTGTACGACCTAGACCTAGTAAGTAGAAGATCTGGCTTTTAAAACAGTGTGTATATAGATTGTAGTGTAGTACTAGTAATACCATAATGTTACTGTTAGTAAAGCTAGACTAAAAATGTAATCTAGACATTATAATTACCAAGTAAAGATATTAAGTTGTGTGCATAGAATACAGACCTTCAACTAGTAAGACTACTATTAATCTAATTGCACAAAATTGTTTCTATGTTTGTATATTTATTTTAATGTAAATGTTCAAACTAGAATCTTAAACTAGTTAATCACAGTCTGACATTATAATAATTGAATTCAGATAACAATGGCTCGATCAGCTCTGCGGAGGTTGATGGCCGAATATAAGCAGTTAACTTTGAATCCACCAGAAGGAATAATTGCTGGTCCAGTCTGTGAGGAAAATTTTTTTGAGTGGGAAGCTTTGATAATGGGACCAGAAGGAACATGCTTTGAGGGTGGTGTTTTTCCAGCAAAGTTAATATTTCCACCTGACTATCCTTTAAGCCCTCCAAAGATGCAGTTTACGTGCGAAATGTTTCATCCTAATATATATCCTGATGGCCGCGTATGTATATCAATCCTTCATGCTCCAGGTGAAGATCCAATGGGTTATGAATCAAGTGCTGAACGATGGAGTCCTGTCCAAAGTGTGGAAAAAATATTGCTTTCTGTGATCTCGATGCTAGCAGAACCTAACGACGAAAGTGGTGCCAACGTGGATGCAGCCAAAATGTGGAGAGAGGACCGTGAACAGTTCAACAAAATTACCGATCGTTTAGTTCGCAAATCTCTAGGATTGGCACCGGCTTGATGTGTGTAACACGAGCAAACAAAATAAGAGTAATAAAAATATATGCTGGATTCTCATAGTCTAATGATCAGACCAAAATATTACACTAAGCATTTGTATATGTACTTAGCTTGTAATCTGACAAATTGGTTGAAATTTATGATCGGGCAATTCTAATGACTCCGAAAGTGAATAGCATGCAAATTATATGCATAAAACCATTTGATTAGAATTTGTTATTTCACCGATTTTTACTTTGCAGAGTTATCACAATCAAATATGGATTATTTTCACTACTGAAATTATTAAATGTTTCCCGACAAAACATTTTACGTTTAATGAATTCAGTGTTGTTATTATCGTTATATAAGATGGTGTACCGAGCATTCTTATGCAGAACAATTAAAGCTATTCAACAGTGAATTTCACATGATATACCGTACACAGTGAGGCTGGTTGGATTCCCAAGTGTTAAAAGGCAAGCTCTTGCAGCTTAACTGTTAGATTAGGTTCCCAGAAAGTCTTATAATTTATTGCAAAGTAAAAAGAAAAAGTTAATGTATTATTAGATTTGCTAATGGAAGGTAAAGAACTCTGAAACTCTAATTTCGTTAATCGACAGTTTTTTTTTATAATTAAAGCTTTAGCTGCTTAACTTTCTAAATACTTGACTTTTTTTTTTTTATAACAATTTAGACTGTGAGAGAAAAAAATAACTTAATATTTGATAATGTTTCAGTAATGAAAATATTTTGCTATAAAAACTTTGCCAAAATGAACTTTAGCTCCTAATGTAGCAAAATATTTATTTTTGAACATGTAAAGTAATGGTACAGGTAAATAAGCTTCGTAATGGGATTTAATAGTGTTGACTAGCTTTTTTAATTTAAAGCCTGGTAAGGTTTATATATATTCAAACTCTTGTTTTAAGGAATTTATTTTGCTGTTAGCATGGTTTGGTTTTTCTTTTAAAAAGGTTTTTGAACTGGAATGAAAACATTTTCTACAGAGATTTGGCAAAGCTTTTCCAGAGCAACTGAAATAAATATTTGTATTTGAATTATTCCAAGTGTACCAGTGTATATTATTGTGACTTATTTTAATTATCTGATATTAATATAATTCAGCAAAATTATAAGGTTTAGAACATAACGATGTCATGCCTTCCAATTATTGAAAATGAGTAGTGGCGATTCTGGGGTTGAAAGGATTTTTGTTTTGTTATAAAGGAAGTTTTTGGTGTATGATACACCATGCTTTCATACTGAAGATACTAAGTGATCGGTATATTAGATATAAAACAATAATTGATATATATATCATATTGACAAAGTATTTTAAGTGTGAATGTTACTATTCCTACAAAATGGTGTGTTTATATACTAATTACCACTATCAATACCTATCTGTGTTTAGGATTTGTAGTATACGAACGAGTAACTGAACTGACGATATGTATACAAAGCAACTTATGTGTGTAGAAAAAGTGGATGTATTAAATGTAGGTTTTGGATATCTGTTTAATTAATTTCACACACAAGAAGAAAAAGATTGCTTAGTAACTGAAGTTTGCATTCATATGGTTCATCTTTATGAAGACTTTTGAGATCAATCTTTTTGTGTCTTTTAAAAACGTAATCCTTTCTAAGGAAACCACATGGACTTTAAAAAAAATCGACATTTTATTCAAGATTTAAAGTTTGTTATGTCAAAACTTTTAAATAGGAACATTAATCAGTCATGTTTGTATAGTTGAAATATTTTAAAATTGAAATCTGACCAAAATTAAATGCTTTATTTTGTTTATTAAAATCTGCGTTATGGTTTGAGATTTTGATTTGTGATTATTATGTTTACTTGTTATTTGTATGAGTATGCAGTTGTTTCTTGAATTTTATAATAAACAGAATTATGACACTTCATTATTTTTGTAATTAATATTCTTCTATGGGTAGCATAATCTCTAAACTTATTTTATCTGGAGGGAAGAAGGGTCAGAGGGGATATGACTGAAGTTTTTAGGATTATTAAGGATATTGATAATATGGATCAATCAAACTTTTTGCATTTAGCAGTGAAAACTATAGGACAAAGGGTCATAAGTTCAAATTTTGGCAGCGTAGGAGGAGTGTGCAATTTAGACAGTATTACTTTTCAAACAGGGTAGTTGGCTTTTGGAATGAGCTGCCATCAAGAGTGGTGAAGGCAGAAAATTAACTGTTCACAAAAAGATTGGATGAACACATGAGTAGTAAGGGGTAGTTATAGTTGGGAGCTGGAAGGGACATCCTTGACGGGCAAATAAGCTCCTTTTTATCCCTTTAAAATTTTATTAATTATGAAATGTTTGAAATATTGCTCTGCATATACTTTCTGGATCCTTCTGTATTGAAGATACTTATAACTACGTTTTGGATATGGGTCTACCTGAATAAACAGACTAGCTACCAAGTTACATATTGGTGCCATTATTAGGACTTGTTTATAGCATAGTTTATTTTGAATTTACTTCCTTCTTTTAGTTTCACTCTGGTACTGTAAAATTTGTAAATACTGATTATGGAAGGACATTTACTAAGAGCATGTAGAACGTACAGCAAAGAGGAGGAAGTTACAACTGAACTGAGGAGTCTCCAAAAATTTGCCAAAGGACTCACTTAGATGCAGAGTTTTTGTTTGTAATAGTGAGAGCTATGAGAATCCAGGATGTCCTTTACTTGACTTCTAGTGGTTAGTTCCTGTTTGGAACAAATAGTAGCAAAAAAGGCGTTATAGTAGTATTGAGCATCCTGAACATCCCAAGACTTACTAGAATGGTTTCTATGGGATACCTAGATAGGCCCAGGTGTCACAAGGCATTGATTTGAGTCACCTATGACTAAGAAAAATGGTGAGAGGTAAGCATCAAAGTGTGCAGTTAGTCTGGAGTTTTATAGGCTCACAGACAACACCCAAAGATCAGGCATAGAGGCTGTATCATTATGATGACACGTATCCCTTCATGTCACGTCGTTCTGTATGAGGCTTAGACTGAGGATGCTGTATCGTAAAGATGCACTCATCACTCTGGACCTATAGGAGACAAGGAGCTCCCCTGAATGCATACAACCTTTCAACTACACAGCAGAAACTAGTAGCAGGTTCCTGGTGGTGATGTGAAACAGTTGAACCTGCCAGTGTTTAAGTGAATGGCAAAGAGGATTTGTGTCAGTACTTGAAGCAAGTGAAAACTTGGCTACTTAAACTAGTTAAGTAAATTGCTCTCACAAGTATGTCTCCCATAGCTAGTATATTTTATCTCGCTTTTTGTATAATTAACTTCATTTCTAACAAATATTCAAGAAAAGATTGGGTTTAAGGCATGCTATAGTACAGTTGGTTACATTTGGGAATGGGCTAGTCATCATCCAGTAATGAGCGTGTCTGGAGTGCAAATCCAAGGGTTCATGGTTCGCGTCGCCTTTTCGGAGAAATGCAACTCACACTTTAGAGTCCTGGACTCACTGTAAGAGTGACAGTCAAATTTAACTATTCTGTCAGACAACAATTGTTGGTGGGTGCTTCTTGTAATTAGCTGCCTTCCCTCTAGCCCATCAGTTCAAACATAGGGCTGGCTATGCACAGAAAATCCTTGAGTGACTTTGGCACGAACATTTTAAAACAAGTAAATTAAGTTTAATAATATATATATATATATATATGTAACATTTGAACAGTGAGTAAGTAATGATTAGATGCAAGAATAATTAAAGAACATTGTGTGTATAGCTCTTGTTAAAGTTAGCGATTTCCGATTATGATAAAGTATAGGGCAAAGACTGATTGAATCTTGTCAGTGTTTCAGGAAAGGTAATTTCACACTTTCTGTTGACAGTTCGATTATTAGTTTGTTAGATGTTCACGAGTCATGCAGTTTTGAATTTAATAAGCTTGTGATTTACTCACTTTATCTAACCCTGGAGGCAAATCTATTTAATTTATGCTACCTCCCACACCACTTCTATTTACCCGAAAGTTTCTGATTCTCATATTTTCAGTTCTTGCTTTAATTGTCGAGCAAACATGCCTTAATTAGGCTAACAAAACATAGATCATCCCATATGAAAAATAGCTCAAGTGAATTACGATTATTTTCAGCTAATTGTGATCGGAATTCTCTTTCGTTATTTCTTCCACATCTCCCCCATGTGCCACAATAATATAATATAGAGACAAAGACTTTAACTCCTCTGAACCAAGGACCACATTATGTATCACAACAGTGATAGACCAACTAAAATAATTTCCGCATATAAAGAGGAAAATCGTGAGAATAACAATTAAATTCTCCTTAGTCATAGAATTAAAACCAGATATTAAATTGAAAACATCATAAGTATTTATTCTTAATTCCTTACTAATAAAGAAAACACAAATTACCCTCATTAATCTGTTACTGACAATTTCTGACACAAGTGTACCCTGTGGTTTAACTGTAAGGTCGACGTCATATAACGCTAAGAATCAGAGTTCGATACCTTTGGTGGGCACAGTGCAGGTAGCTCATTGTGTAACTTTGTGCTTAGAAATATGGCAAATGATATAACATCGTGTACTTTTGATATCGTATGTTCATATGTAGAAATACCTATACAAACTGAATTAGAAAACACTTACCAAAATAGCTTACAAATCGTGGTAAAAATCTGAACACAACTTCCAAAATTAGTCAGTTTATGTTGTTTTTAATTAATAAAGTAATTCCCTTTTACAAAAGAAGGTCCGACAAGAGATAACCGTTATCTCCAGTGTTAGCTGGTTCGAATCCCCGTCACACCAAACATGCTCGCCCTTTCA